TTTTTTGGTGGAATCGGGGATTAAACTCAGACCCTTGCACTTGACAGGGAAGTGCTTATTCTACTGAGCCATCTCCCTGGCCCCTGTCACTTCCTTTTGCGGAAAATGAAACACAAGCCTGAATTGTTGGAGAAAATGTCCATGTGAAGATATCTTTCTATTAAGTAGTAATCAGGACCTTTGGCTTACCCGGGGCTGACGTTAAGGCTTTTGTCTCCAGAACACTGTCTACACGTCCTCTCCCTTCACTTCACCTCAGTCAGCCTGCAATTCAATATTCTATTGGCTTTTATGTCTGCACAGAATTCTCCCCGATTGGATCTCCTTGTTCTTCCCTTTAAAAATTAGAGAATGAGATTTTGCTTGGAAAGAAGAAAAGAGCTGGGCCTACGGGCTAGAAACCAATATAAATACATCTGTTGTTGAAAATGCTTCCCAGATCATGAATTTTGCCTGATTCCAGTCGTGGCTTTCAGCAGATTCCATTGGTTAAGGGCATATTGTGGATTCCTAGTCTTAGGTGTAATTCCTTAATGTCCTGCTCCATGCTTCTCAGAAAAGCCAAATCTGAAAGAAGGTCTTTTTTGGCAAGACTTTGTGCGCGAGGTTTTGCTCTTGCACAGAGCATTATGTTCAGCCAGTAAAATGCAGTTCACACCTCACTAATAAGATTACTGTCACTAAAATGAAATATGAGCTCTGGACCAGCCAGTTAGGGTTGCTTCACAGTCCTGCCCCAGGGAAAGTGGTTCATTATGTTAGTGCTTTAAAAATCGAGGGAATTGGGTGAAAAAAATTACTAACCCCGTGCAATTTCATTTCCCTCCTGTAATGTTACCATGGCAACCCAGCATCTTCTCTCTCTCTCTCTCTCTCTCTCTCTCTCTCTCTCTCTCTCTCTCTCCTCTCGGGTCCAACCACATATGCTGTGTTCCTGAAGCAGCCTCCCTCAGTCCCCCAAGAATGGCCTGTCAGGCATTTTTCAGTTGCAAGTTGATGCTGCTGCATGCAGTTGAAGGATGACTTTCTGATTCAGGACCCATTCCAAACAACACAGCATTAATTGTAAACTTCTAGAAGTTGGGGGCAAGTAAGACTCCTTATATTGTGCTGAAAAAAGTATTGCGCGAATTTTACAGGGAGGAATGAGTTCAGTGCCATGTTGCAAAGCACAATATTCACAAGAGTTTTCTTATTGTGCTTTTAGTATTCTTGTTTAGAAAAAAAAAAGCTTATTTAGCTTGAATTCTGAAAGTTAAAGAGAATAAGTCATATTCGTAAGTCTAATCCCAATTTAAAAGCCATTTATTTCATTGCAAAATTTACATTGTGAAAGGTAAGATCCTTTAATAGAAATTCGTTCACTCATTCACTTTGTAATTTTTATTGAGAAGCTTTCATGGACATGATCCTTAATCACCTCCTTTCTGAGATCCATTTATCCTTTAAACTGTTAAAGTAGGCCTTGGGATAGACTAGTGTTAAAGAAATACATTATAGCACTTCTTAATGCAATAGTAGGTAAGCCCGGGTTTATTCAAGGGTGCTTCTACGGTGGGGCTTTGCAGCACCTGGCTCGGCTCTGTGTACAAGCAGGAAAGGTAGAGCATTCCAGCACTACAGAACAAGGTACCGGCAGTGTGGGGAGATTTACTAGGAGGAAATATCAGGAGTGAGAGGAACGCCGGCTACACTGCCTCTAGTGGATTACTGTCAAAAGCAGGTCAGGCGAGGTGATGCTGAGATGGGGATAAGGAACTGGAGCAGACACCAAGAACCAGGAGGATTCTTCCCAAATTGGCCCACCAGGATTCACGCTAAAAGCAGACTGAGCAGAGTAACACACTAGAGCCCCAAATTCATGGCCTAGGGGGCTGGGAATATCACACAGTCATAAAGCATGTGCTTAGCATGCGTGACACGCTGGGTTCAAGCCCCAGATCTGCCAGTTAAATTATATCAAAGATGGAGGATACAGCTCAGGGGCACAAGTGCCTACCTGTCAAGCACAAGGTCCTGAATTCAATTCCTGGTGTCCCCCATCTCACCTCCCAAAAAAGCCAGGGCAGAGAATTAGAAGAGCCTGACTAGAGTTCACTTCAGAGGCCACAAATAACTAAAACACCAGGGGGAAAAATTGGAGGTTCCCCCCTGAAAAAGTACATAAAACTAGGACAGAAGTCCCAAAGGTAGAGCAGCTACATTTTATCTGGAGAAAGGCTTCAGAGAAAACAGGAGTGTAAGACATTAAGGGCTTAGGTGGCTGGGGATACA